TTGATACACTCATGCAGGTACAGAAAAAGGAGGGGGAGCCAGATACAGTGATTTGCAGGCTTCTACTTCTTAAGTATTTTTTTAAAAAATGGAGTGGTTCAGGAAACAAATTTATTTGAGTTTAACTGCTAGTTTCACCCTGTGCTCTGAGAACATGGGTGTAGAAATGAAGCTCTCTGTGTGTGTGTATATGTGTGTCCATGTGTGTGTGTGTGTGTGTGTGTGTGTGTCTCCCTCTCTCTCTCTCTCTCCTTAAGTTTTTGCGGATATTTATATGTATGGTATTCAGCTTTGTTCGGGTATTTTCCCACGTCATTATAGTTATGCAAACCTGTTCATGGAAGAATTTGAATCCAGAGCCCTGGTAAATGCCACCCACAAACCCAAACTATGGTTAAGATACATCGATGACACATTTGTTATTTGGCCCCATGGAAAAGAAAACCTAAACAATTTCCTAACACACCAAAACAGCACACACCCCAAAATCAAATTCACCATGGAAATGGAAGCAAACAAACAACTACCATTCCTAGATGTACTAATTTACAAAAAAAAACAGATGGCATACCATAAAACCAGAAGAAAACACACACCAACCGCTACCTCAAGGCCCAATCCCACCACCACCCAGGACAGATAAACTCAGAACCAAACACCTGGCAGACAAGACACACATAAAGACTGAACTATGCACCCTGACTAAAGTACTGACAGCCAATGGCTTCCACAAAAGCAAAATCACAGACCTGATCCACAAAAACACACTGAGACATAATGGAGACCTAGAAGATGAACAGACCTATGGAACAGCTGTCCTGCCCTACAAAAGAGGTACTACAGACAAAATCAGTAAGATACTACACAGGCATCACATCAAGACTGCCTTCAAAACAGACAGAAAAATAGCAACCATCCTAAGAAACCCCAAAGATAAAATTGACCTGGAAAACCAAGTCCCCTGAGCATCATGCCCTGCCACATACATCAGAGGGACCAATAGAAGAATAAATACCTGCCTGGATGAACAGAAAAATGCAGTAAAAATGCTGGAACACACTTCCTCACTAGTCCAACACATGAAAGCCACAGGTCAAAGCATCGACTTCAATGGCAGCAAAACCCTAGCCACTATAGAAAACCCCAGCTACAGAATTATCAGATAAGCCATAGAGATTGAAAAAAGACCTGAAAGCAACACGTGTGTGTGCACGCGTGTGTGCATGTGTGTGTGTAGGACTTAAGACCAAAATTAAGTTATGGTGGTAGACCTTGAGTTCTAATTTCTGGATAAAAGTTTCCCTCTCTGATCATGCCTGACTCTAGAGCATGGTGTTCCTCTCCGTCTCTTGACTGAGCAAGCTAGCATTGTCCAAAGACATTTTCTTTGATCATGTGGCCATATCACCAAAGGTGGAATGGGAGCTCACCCCATTGCGTGGCGCTTGGGTCTCAAACCTGGGCTGTCCGTTTTCCAGCTGCAAGCTCAGCATCCTTAACCACTGAGCCATGATGCCTACTCAGCCTATTCTTACTTGGCCCCAAAAGCTGAAAGCTGGTCTCTCTCTCTCTCTCTCTCTCTCTCTCCCTCTCTCCCTCCCTCCCCCCCTCCCCCCTCTCTCTACTTCACTAAGTTGTCATGGGACAAAACAAGAGGAGGAAGTGCCCTGTAAGATTCTGATAAAAGACAGGATGTAAATTATATATACATATATGATTATGTTAAAATATTACAATATGATTAATTAGGTTTACATCCTGTCTTTTATCAGAATCATACACACACACACACACACTTCTGTGGCTAGAGAGAGTTTGTGATCCCCAGTAGTGTCAGTGACAACATGATGATCTGTGTAAGTGAAGAGTTGTAGACCAAGATAAACTCGTGGAAGATATACCTTCTCAGTAGTTTTCCATCGGGATGATGGCATGGAACCTCCAGGCTGAGAAGTGAAGCATAATTTGATGGCAGACAACTACGAGAGGAGAAGACAATCTTCTCACGCTTGGTTTCAGCTGTGGACATAGGAAGAGAAACTCCAGCAACCTCGGATGTCCTCTCTTCTCAGGATCTGCAAAGGTGTCGCCTATCTAGAAACGGACGGCATTGATTGCAGTCGTGCTGCTTTTGAATCAATACTCATTCAACTAGAGCAGTGGTTCTCAACCTTTTCTTCACCACGCAGATCCCCCTTTAAGTACCTTTTGTGGCCACAGACCCCCAAGACTTAAGGATTAATTCGTAACAATTCTTCAAGTCTTCGCAGGCCCTTGATGACATGGCAGTTCCCCAGGGCTTGCTAGTTACTAGAGGCAGGGGTGGCCTTCAAAACTTTTAGCAAAGGGTTCGCTGGCCAGTTGCTGGCTGGGCGTGGCCATGGTGGGCGTGGCCTAGTCAGCCTCCTGCACCATGGCAGGGGAGCATTTTTGCTCTCCCCAGGCTCCAGAGGCTTTCCTTGAGCCTCTGGGAGGGCCAAAACAGCCTCCCTGGGCTCCGGAGGCTCTCTGGAAGCCAGAAACAGGCCAATTTCCAGCCTTCCTGAACTTTCAGGAGGCCCGTTTTTCACCCTCCCTGAGCCTCTACACATGCCCTGCACTTACCTGCATCCAAAATGGACTCCTGGGAGGGGAGGGGCCACCCAGGAATGGGATTTAGGAGTTGTCCAAACTGCCCAGAATCTTAGCTAGGGGCTCTCCCGAACACCTGCGAACCCCCAGCAGCCTAGCCCTTACTAGAGGGAGGTAGAACTTGCATTCAACAGTTCAAAGAGGAAATGGAGTCAGAAAGGAAGTTTCTTCTCCAAGTTTGGTGATGAGGTTGCCATAGCAGATGTATGTCCTTTTTTTCCCCCCCATGATGCAATTTTCTTCCCACCCTCTATTCCCTCCTTGGCTTCCCACTCTTCCATTCAATCCTGAGAGAAGACATCAGAAAGGAGCTCCTTTCAAGACAATGTTAAAATAGTGCTTTTTCTGTCAACGCGGAGAGATACTCCAACCCACGAGAACTTTTTACTTTCCAGGGGTAAATTTTAGGAAATCATCTACTGAACTTATCTGCTTATAAATTTTATGGAACATTTCAGAAGGGCATTTGTATCCTGCTCCTAGGGATGCTCCAGGATTGAGGGTGACATACGCAAGATGTCCAAGATGGACCTTTCAATCACACCTGATCATTCCACTTTTCTCTGTCTTTCCTTTCCTTTCCTTTCCTTTCCTTTCCTTTCCTTTCCTTTCCTTTCCTTTCCTTCCATTTCTTTCCTTCCCATTCCTCCCTTCTCCACCCCTTTCCTCCCTCCCTCCCTCCCTCCTTTCTTCCCCTCCAATTTTTCCCTCTTCCCCCCACCCCGCACCTAGGCATGAACCTCCGTTCCATACTGGACCATGCTTAGAGTATTTTCTTCTTTTTCTAAGTCATCTTATCCTTTAATCTGATGGCAAACAAATTATTTTGGCTTCTATTTTCAGTAAACTGAAACTCAGATCAGGGGACTTGCATAGCTTCTCACATTACTTTAGTCAGAAGGTATGTCTTCCATTGCACAACCTTCACCTCACGGCTCTGCAGCCTCCTGGGCTTCCTGCATTTCAATCGAGTTTTAAGAGAAGACATCCCAGGCCTTGATATTCCCACCTACCACCTCCCAGGGTCAGGAAGCAAAGAAAATTGCAGATTGCACCACCACAAGCATTCTTATTATATTACCCTTTTACTACTTTGCAATCCTCAGGTATATTCAAACATCTGTAAAATTTATTTTTTTAAAAAAATCTGGGGATAATATATGTTTAGAGGAGCTTTGGGAAAAGGGCAATAAAGAATAAGTTCAGGAAAGTTAAAGTTTTTAAGAAAACCTTTTCAACAACAACCACAAAAAAGCCCATAGTTGTGCGGATCAAATTTAGACATGTCTGGATCACTGTTGACTGCTTGTGTAAGCATTAGAGAAGTTTTCTGACCTAGATTTTTTTCCCCCAAATACACAATAAATTTCTTTAATTTATGTAGAAGAAGATCATGGATCATATATACACAAGGAAAGAACATTCAGAAATAGTCCTAACCATATGCAGATGATTCCTTGCGGTACATAATAATATCAACAACAATAATTCAATGCTGGACAATACTTTGAAATTGACAATAAGCAGTTAATATGGAAGGAGATAAGATAATGAAGTGCTTTTACTTAGGGAACGAACCATTGGAAGGAAAGAATGAATAGCACAAGCTCTTTAAAAGAGCCAAGAAGCCAACTTGAGGATTAAGTGATATTCTCAAAACAATTCTCAGATGAAAGATACAAAAATTTCATGACTATTTGGATCACATTACATTTCAGTCATGACACAATATTTAAATTCTGCTGCAAAGTGCAAATATTCAAAGAACAGCTTTACTTTTTAGCCAGGCCCATGAAAGCAACCAAATAAATTAGCAGTTATGATCTGACACTAATTGGTTCGTAGTGCTTTATATCTCTTTATCAGATGTTCTCCCAAGAAAGTCAGTGAGACAGCTTGCTTAGAGTTTGATTAAGGTTTCTCAGAAGTTTTTTCCCCCTCCCCATTTTTTTTTTTGTTTTGGTTCTGGTCTGTGTAACAGAACTGACAAGAATCTTGCAAGTCTCATTGTGTTGTACTTCCTCTTCCAACTTTTTATAGTTTGGTGAATTAAGGAGATGTCTGTCTGAGTCTCTTCTGAATATTATCTATCCATTATGGACCTTAAATATGTTTCACCCCCATCATCCTGGCAAGGGAACTTGCAAACCTCCATCAAAGACATCTTGTTTATTCTCCAACCCACCCACTCAGGTGGAGACAGAGTTTTTTTCCCTCTCAGTGAACAGGAAGAAAATTCCGGGAAGCCATTTTGTCCACCTCCTTGTGTTTTGCAGCATTCCAAATATTGCAGTCCTTTAGTGTTTGGTGAAGGATGAAATCCAGAGATTGTTGGTGGCCTGACTTTGAGAGGTTAGAAGTCTTTTTTTTTAGAGGCAGTGGTTAACTGTGGATGTCCAGGGAGAATGATTACACCTGCTTTCCTGGAGCAGAGGTGACATGCCATCACTCACTTTGAAGTGGCTCAACGAATTCATTAACCTAGAAGGCACTGAAAAGTTATAACCGTAGAACCCATAAGGAGGATGCAAGGCACAGTTTAAAGTTTCTCGGGCAACAGGCGCCGTCGGGAAAATGTTTCCAGATGCATGCAAGCCATATAACATCTGGCCACCAGAACTGGGCCCTTGGGACACCACTCCATCTAGATCTTCTGCTTTGCCACTTCTGATGTTGCCAATGCTAAGAGAAGACAAGGTGGGCACCTCCACCATGAAGTGGGGGAAAAAGTGAGGACCGGTGGCGCTTCCCAACTTATGGTGGCTCGGGAACATGAGGGACGGCTGTCTTAAAAGGTTGGTAGGGCAAATCTTGTAGCAGATGGGTAGGCCAAGATGGTGCAGGTAAGAATCCGGGCAGGGCATGCCAAGATTGGTTGCGGAGAGGTGAAAGGTGGGAGGAGAACCCGCAGGAGAAAGGAGAGAGCTGAGAGGTGATGGGATTCCCCCAGAGGCTGTTGCGGGAGACGAACTGGAACTTCCACCTAGGATAAAGCAAGTAAAATGACATTATGAAATGATAGCAAACCAAACAGAATGTCAACTAAAAAAAAATACTTCTTTGGTCTTTTTAGTTGCCAGCAGAAAGGGAGTGGGGAAAGTAGTGCATTCCTTAAATGCTTCAGATAATTGCTAGGCAGCCGAAGCTGTTGGCGCGCAAGATTATTACTGGAGAGCATGATTGAGGACTCTTGGCTATGGACTGGAGAATATACATCCAGGGGGTGGGGGGAAGACTAGGGTCAAGGGGGAAATGAATGATGTGTTTTAGTGTTTTAGTGTCGGCTGCACCCAGGTAACACCGACATGGTCACTCCTAATAAATCATTATTTTTTTTTACTCTGAGAGATGTGACTAGAGACTTATGATTTGAATGGGGGTGGATTTGTCAGAGTTCTGACACAGAACTTTGTTCTCCACCTTTCATAATATTCAGGATCATCGAAGTTAGGAACATGGATAACTAAGTGGGAGAACTTGAGCCTTCTTCAATCATGGTCCCTGTGGAAGGCCCAGGCATTGAAGTAACTCTATTCTCTTCCAAAATGGTCAACCAAAAAGCTTATAAATATTTCCTATTCCATTCCAGGATAGGCAGGGTTGCTATTCCAATCTTCAAACATATATTACCTTCCAGAAAATTTGTGATTTTCCCCAGAATTGATATGGGGACAGGATATATTATAGACCCATGTTACTGTATGTAGATAGTCCTAATGACTGTAATGGAGTTCGGAATTTCCATTGCAAGTCATGGTAGTCGTAAGTCGAGTCCCCTATGTGACTGACCCGAGTTTGCAACCTTTTTTTACAGTAGTCGCTGAGCCAATGCCTCGGTTGTAAAGTGAATCCAGCCATCATGATTCAAGTCAATGCATTCATGATGTATTGGGCCTTATTTCATGTGGGCCTTTTTTTTTTCATGTAGGCCTTGTTTTTTGGCTGGAAATGAGCCAAAATGATGATTTCTGATAAAAGAAATCATCATAAATCATGTCACATGACCATGAGCTGAAATGGGCAGCTATAGAAATCAAATGATAGATAGATAGGTAAGTAGGTACATAGGTAGACTGATAGACAGACAGACAGACTAGATAGACAGACAGACTAGATAGACAGACAGACAAGGTAGATAGATATAGATGATAGATAGATAGATAGATAGATAGATAGATAGATAGATAGATAGATAGATAGAGATAGGTAAGTAGATTGATAGACAGGCAGACAGGCAGACTAGATAGACAGACAGATAGACAAGGTAGATAGATATAGATGATAGATAGATGGATAGATAAATAAATATAGATAGGTAGGTAGGTAGGTAGATTGATAGACAGACAGACTGACTAAATAAATAGACAGACTAGACAGGCAGACAAGGTAGATAGATATAGATAATAGATGATAGATATATATAGGTAGATAGGTAGGTAGGTAGGTAGATGATAGATAGATGAGAGAGAGAGGAGAGAGAGAGAGGTGGTGGGGAGAGAGAAAGAGAATAGACCGATAGATATTGGCTGTAAAGTTACCAGGCAGTTGAAATGTGTTAATGTGCCTTGGATTGGGGTACCACTATTGGAACTTGGATCTTTTGAGGGGGGCATTGTAATTTTCTGTGCCTGATAAGCGATCAATCATTAAGCGAGGATTACCTGTACCTGTTCTGAACCCATACATTATTGTCATTCTTGCCCAATTTTTAGTGTGGCTTTCAAGACAAAAATTGATCATGTTGGTTGGATTAAAACAATCTGATAACAATCATAAGCAAGATGTTTTCTCTATGCCAAAAAATAAAAAAAACAACTGAGCAAATATTACACATACTGAATAGATTTTCGCTCATTTCCCATTTTTCCTTTGGACAAACTCTCAAAGGGGTTGCTCAAGGGGCATTTCAAGGGGGAAAATGTATGTAAATTGTTTGTTGGCAACGTTAAATTCTATTTTTCTGTTACCCTGTGAAGCAGCAAACTCAAATCCTACATTTGTATTATTTTTGACGGTGATCGTTTAAACAGGCTGCACAGTTGTGGATTGCCTTAAAACAGAGTCTTGTAGTATCTTTTGTGTCACATATGTTTTGGGGTTTCTCAATTCACATCACCAGATGTGTGAGATAACAACCTCCGGCGAACACTTTTGGTGGGCCCCCAATATTATTGCGGAAATAAGAAGGAAGAAGGAGAGACGAACAGGAAAGGAAACAGAGTTGTGTTGAGACTTAGGTGCCAAAATAAAACTGGTTTATTTTCAAGATTTTAAGATTTCAAGACTTTGTGGACCTTTCCTTTCCTCTCCTCTCCTCTTCCCTCCTCTCTCTTCCCTCTTTCTTTCTTTCTTTCTTTCTTTCTTTCTTTCTTTCTTTCTTTCTTTCTTTCTTTCCTTCCTTCCTTCCTTCCTTCCTTCCTTCCTTCCTTCCTTCCTTC